TTCTTTAGATAAGAAAACACTCAAACATTGCAAAGAAGGCCCATTGGTAACAGAGGCGGCCTCGAGCCATCTCCAAGCCTTGTGTCCAAAGGACCTCAAGAGTCCGAAGGGATTAGTACCTTCTTCTAAGGCATAAACATCTGCTGAGGAATAATAATCTTCGAACCTCAAGAGTCCGAAGGGATCAGTACCTTCCTCTAAGGCATAAACATCTGCCAAGGAATAATAATCTTTGGACCTCAACAGTTCGAGGACTTCAATTTTTCTCTAAGGTACAAAGAGCTGCCGAGGAATAAAATTCGTCTTCAGATCTCAAAAATCCGAAGACTTCAAAATTCCTCTGAGGCATAAAGAGTGTCGAGTAATAAAATTCGTCTTCAGATCTCAAGAGTGTGAGGACTTCAAAATTCCTCTAAGGCACAAAATAGCTGCCAAGGAATAAAATTCGTCTTCGGATCTCAAGAGTGCGAGGACTTCAATTTTCCTCTGAGGCACAAAGAGTTGCCGAGGAATAAAATTCATCTTCGGATCTCAAGAGTCCAAGTACTTCAATTTTCCTCTAAGGCACAAAGAGCTGTCGAGGAATAAAATTCGTCTTCGGATCTTAAAGGTCCGAGGACTTCAATTTTCCTCTAAGACACAAAGAAGTGCCGAGGAAAAAAATTCATCTTTGGATCTCAAGAGTTTGAGGTCTTCAATTTTCCTCTAAGGCACAAAGAGCTGCCGAGGAATAAAAAAATCATCTTCGGACCTCAAGGGTCCGAGGACTTCAATTTTCCTCTAAGACACAAAAAGCTGCCGAGAAATAAAATTTGTCTTCAGATCTTAAGAATCTGAAAACTTCAAAATTCCTCTAAGGCACAAAGAGCTGCCGAGGAATAAAATTCGTTTTCCGATCTCAAGAATCCGAGGACTTCAAAATTCCTCTAAGGCACAAAATAGCTGTCGAGAAATAAAATTCATCTTTGGATCTCAAGAATCCAAGGCCTTCAAAATTCCTCTAAGGCACAAAATAGCTACCGAGGAATAAAATTCATCTTCGGATCTCAAGAGTCCAAGGATTTCAAAATTCCTCTAAGGCACAAAATAGCTGCCGAGGAATAAAATTCGTCTTCGGATCTCAAGAGTCCAAGGACTTCAATTTTCCTCTAAGGCACAAAGAGCTGCTGAGAAATAAAAATCGTTTTCGGATCTCAAAAGTCCGAGAACTTCAATTTTCCTCTAAGGCACAAAGAGCTGCCTAGGAATAAAATTCATCTTCAGATCTCAAGGGTCCGAGGACTTTAATTTTCCTCTAAGGCACAAAGAGCTGCCGAGGAAAAAAATTCATCTTCAGATATTAAGAGTTCGAGGACTTCAATTTTCCTCTAAGGCACAAAGAGCTGCCGAGAAATAAAATTCATCTTCGGATCTCAAGAATCCGAGGACTTCAAAATTCCTCTAAGCCACAAAATAGCTACCGAGGAATAAAATTCGTCTTCGAATCTCAAGAGTCCGAGGACTTTAATTTTACTCTAAGGCACAAAGAGCTGCAGAGGAATAAAATTCGTCTTCGGATCTCAAGGGTTCGAGGACTTCAATTTTACTCTAAGGCACAAAGTGTGCCGAGTAATAAAATTCGTCTTCAAATCTCAAGCGTCCGATGACTTCAAAATTTCTCTAAGGCACAAAGAGCTACCAAGAAATAAAATTACATGAAAATTACTCCGAACTCAAAGAAGTTGAAGGTTAAATTTTTATGTAAAATTCCTCTAAGGCACAAAAGAGTGCCGAGAAATAAAATTACATAAAAATTACTTCAAACTCAAAGAAGTCGAAGGTTAAATTTTCATGTAAAATTCCTCTAAGGCACAAAAGAGTGCCGAGAAATAAATTTACATGAAAATTACCTACATCGCCGCCATCAAGGCATATTGTCCCAGCTTTTTCAAGTAACATGAACTTTTGGTTCACTACGGTTAATCAATACAATTCATTACACTAGATCCGATTAATCCCCTCTAGTTATGATTGCCAAATCAAACTAAAGGGAATTGGGGGCAAAGTGTGGGGGCAAAAATCTCCCTTTCCAATTAAGACAAGATACATCAGCATATAAGGGGACCACCACAAACACTGAGACTATTCAACCTTCAATTGGGCCTCTACAAGAAGCTTGGGCCGAGTTAACTAAGCATAATGGACTGAACTCATTAAGAAGGCCCGAGATGATAAGACCCCAATCCTAATTACAAATATATTACTAAACCCATTTTAGTAACAGTTCTATTAGAAGAAGGATTATAATCTATGGAAACCAAATAATGTAAATCCTTGTTATAAGGATAGTATGATGTAATTCAGATTCTTAAGGGCAAGCAATGCGAGTCTTCAAAGGAATCGATTAGGGTTTTTTCCTATATAAAAAGGGCTTAGGACCCTCAATAAAGAGACTGAGAAAGAAGGGCAAAGTTCCCAAAAAATAGATCCAATTCTCATCGTCAGAACTACGTTCTGAGACCTGATTCCCACACTCTATGAGGTGGGATACGTAGGCAATCTAGGTAACCCTAGGTTCGGTCATATCATCAAAATACCCCCTCATCTCTATACAATCTCTCTGGTTCGTTGTTTTTTCTCCATTATTATTTAGGGTGTATTAATTACAGAGATTTTGTTGACTTGTCAAAGTCGAACGAATTTTTGCACCTACAACTATGTAACATGAATTAATGAATCTCATCCTATATTATAAAGCTATTTATTAAATGAGATTAGATTCAACAATCATAGGTTATGATAAAAGTGTATTCTTTCAGAAATCTTAATAATGTAGTAGGCTACCAAGTGTTTTGTGACCTAATGATAGCATCTCCTCTACTTCTTAAAGTGAACAGTGAAGGTTCGAGTCCCCAAAAAGACAAGTTGAGTGTGTATTTCTTGCCAATGCAACAAAAAAAAGTTTCAACCATGGACCTCTTTATTGATTATGAGCTATTTTTAAAATCAAGTATAAACACTTAAATATTGGACTGGGCTTTTGTTGGGCCTTTGACATTCAATTGGCCAGTTTAGTCGGGTCACATTAAGACCCATATCCAGGCCCATATTTGGTCCAAGGCAGTCCATTTTGAGCATGGGTTGGGTAGAAAGCTAGGAAGCACAAGTAGTTCACCTAGAGGTGCCATGGCGGTATCGGAAACTTAGACACGACTTGAATACGTGGACACAGCTAAAAGTGTCATGAAATTTGAATATTTTATATTCTGGTTTGACAGGGCATGAACACAGGCTTTTGGACACTTCCAAGACACGAGGTGATTTTTGTAATTATTTTTATTAGAAAAATGAAATTCAATGCAATTTAAAATATATTATGGACTAATACTAAAAATAATATAAAATATCAAAACTAACAGATATTTAATTCTAAACTCTAAATTTGTGCTTTCATCCATGATTGTGTAAATAAAATAAATAAAAATAATTATTTTTTATATATAATAAAATATTATATTATTATTTTTTGACATATTTTTTTTTTCACCTTTTTTGACATATCAATACTATATTTGTTCACCATTCAAAAAAAAAAATACTATATTTGTTCTCTTTTTAAAAAAAAAAAAAAATTATTCTATTCCTATCGTACTCCTGTTTCGTGTCCTTTCCATGCTTGCTAGTCGAAAAGTGATATAAAGATCACAAACTTTAGGTTGGTTCTGATTACTCCTCTCTCTCTCACACACACACACATTTTGACATTAAAAATTTTGCTCTTCATGATTCTTCTGCCCAGAAACGCATCTTTGATCGTTGTTTGTTTTGTTTTGCTTCGTTTTTTTTTTTTTTTTAGGGTCTTAAACTGAAGAATGGGTCCCCCATCACCATGAAGAAGAAGCCAACTACTCATCAAACTCCAAAAATCACAAGTAGCACTCGTGTTCTTCTCATGAGCTAAAGGGAAAATAAGAAAACCGAAGTTACCAAAATTTAAATAACTTGGAGAAATATAATAACATAAGCAACATTAAATTTAAATTTAAGTGGTTTTTTATTTTTTTTATTTTTGTAAATTAAGGGACTTAAACACAAGCACATACGTTACTTCAAAATTCAATTCAAAAACTGAAGTTATTACCCAGCCCAGTCTCCTCCTTCGTCTCTTGGCGGGGATCCTCATTTAGGCAGCTTCCCTGCTTTTGTGCCATTCATTTTAATGTGGAGCATGCATCCTTTTCTAAAGTATTAGAGCCGGAAAGGAACCAAAATGTTAGCTCAGTCTTGACTTATCTAAAGTTCGGGTCGAGTTCGTTTATTAAACAAGAGAGCTAAGCTCGAACATAATTTTTAGGTTTTGTTGGTTTATTAAACAAGAGAGCTAAGCTCGAACATAATTTTTAGGTTTTGTTGGTTTAGGCTCATATATGCTTGCATGTATAATCTTCTGGTGAGAGTTGTAAACTTGGACGTCCTGAATTCAATTATCACAGAATACAAAAATACCTGGATTTAATTAATACGTGTGGTTTGCAGGTGATTGCATACGTACATCCGATGTGTACCTTACATCCATAAGTCCAAAAGGCCAGTAATTGAGATGGTTTCCCACTTCCAAAAATAAAAAATAAATTAATAAACCTTTGATCGGTCTGGTAGAAAATTCCATAACATTAGTGGCAATCAAATTATTCAACATATGAACTGGAAAGTTGAAAGCTTAAATATTTCTCTTATATATACGTCAGTGTGTCGGTTTTGACATTTCAGCAACCAAATTGGGAATCCTTCAATTAATCATGAATAATAATTATTTTATTTATTTCTTATAATGGGGCTTCATCGTAATTTAGGACATTTGTTCAAGATTTCACATTGATGAGTCATTCATGACAAAACAGCAAATGGAAGCCACTCACCATGGAGGATATATAGGATATCTGGAATTGAACAAAACAGAGGAATGTAATATTACACGAGTGATATGAACAATCTATAGTACAGGGGGAGGTTTTGTGAAATTAATCCTTTACAATCCTAGTATACCATGGATGGTTAAAAATATGAGCCTCACAGAGAATTCCATAAGTTGTCGACTTTATCACAAGCTCATTTTCATCAACTGGAGGGAACTCTGAAGCAATAGTGATTGGGTGAAGTGAGGCGGCATCATAATTGGGATCCTTCTCATCGTCCTTGTAAACCAGACAAACCCCACACTTGTTCACCGACCAGCCATTACATTGGTCTCTTACTGTTATCTCCATTTCATCTCCACTGTACAACATATAATTATGCAAGCAACGCCATAGATAATGTAACTGGTTTGGTACGTAGGTGAGCCACATCTGATCTTCAACTCTCGGATGATCTTCAATTCTTAAATGATCAAAACCAACTATTTGTGCTTCAAATTGATATGTAAACATCATGGTTTTATTTAAAAACTCACATACAATGTTAAACGAGCGAGTGTGTTTTTGGGAGCCAAGATATTCTTTCCAGCTGCCAGAAAAAGCAACACAGAGAATATAGCCTTGTAATATCCGACCCGCGAGCTGAGGCACCCGAAAACTTATAACATTTCCATCACTCTGGTAGTTGCACCACCTCGGAATCTCACTCCCGGGAACAACAATACTATACTGACCTATTTCTCGCAGTCCCTACATTGGAAGAAATTATTACTAGAATGGTCCTGAACTATTCAATAATTTCTCCTACATTGTACCTACGAGCTGGGACGAAGCCAGAAATTATGTTTAGGAGGCACAATGTAATAAAAAATAATAAGAAAGGGGAATTTTAATATCTTAAAGAATTATACATACAAAATTGAAACTTTTTAAAAGTATAGGGGATATTTTTAAAAATTTTAAAAAATATTCAACTAACCTCACTGTCCACAAGCTCTAACTTAATTGATTTTTAGTATTAAAAATTATTACATGGTGCTAGGACTATTAATCCCGACCAATTATAAAGCAATACATAAATAATAAATTAAAAAACTGATTGAAAACGACATAAGTTGACACACATTCATTTTTGTGCCGTAATTGTCCTGGGACCATATACTACATACATATAGAGAGAGAGTGAGAGTAGCGTACCGGATGACGGAGTATATTTCTTCTAAAATTATATGCCAAATTGTTGTTGACTAATATGGGACAATGGTAACAAGTCATGAATTCTGCTTCTCCAGCTTCTGATTCCATTGATATGCTTTGCAATGCGCAGCAGTGTACACGCAATCGCAATAAATTTACTGCAAGGTCCCCAATAGATTCAAGCCGACCACAATCGTCTAACTGGAGGACCTTCAGTAGCGGAAGGGTAGAGATGGTAGCTGGTAGGTTGGAAAATTTGTTTCTGCTAAGATTCAAATATTCCAAGGACATCAATCTACCAATTTCGATGGGCACATGTGTTATATTGCAGTCGTTCATAACTATTTTCCTGAGGCTACTTGATAATTGTAACGACGAGAAGCTTGATTCAAGTGGCCATCTTTGAAAGTATGTTGGCCACTGTAATTTGGAGCAGCCCGACAGATTGACTTCAATGACAGACTTCAACATGAAAATGGTAAGGGGAATCTTCTCAAGATTCTGGCAGTTATTCAAATCCAAGACAAGAAGATTTTCCAAACGTCCAATTGATTGGTGAACCTCTACCAGCTTTGTACAACCATTAAGCAACAATTTCTCAAGACTGGTGAACCCCATGAAGTCCGGAGTTTTGATCAAGAAACATGAATAACTGAGATAAAGGTATTTTAATTTGCCCAAAACCTGTCAGGAACAATAGAGAAAATAAATTTCCATCGTTCTATAAATTAAGTTTAAAGGAGATGAAAACAGTAATATAATGTACCTTAGTTCCTCTCCAAACTTGTTTGAGCTTGCTATAGCTCAAGTCAATGGCAACCAAATTATCCATAATTAAGGTTGGTGGTACACATTTCAAAGAGAACCCTTTCCAAGATAGCCATACAAGTATACCAGAGAGAGATTGGTAACTTCCACTTAAATGGACAAAATCGAGTTGAAGCAGTCTCAGCCTCTCCATCTTTATAAATGCATTCCAATTTAGTTGTAGACGATTCTGTTGGGAAACGTGCTAGTTTTAAAAACTTTTCGAGGGATTTAAATTCATAGATCTTGATTCATCACATAGAGACAAGTTTTATGCAAAAATAAAACATGATGTATCATTCAATTAAAAGATTGAATACTTACATCAATGTTTGAGTAAACCTTAGATCTCTCCGCTAAAGTGAATGTTCTCACTTATTGTAGATCCCTTTTGCTAGACACCTTTTTCATGGATCTCCATCTTCTTGGTAATTGTTTTGCCTTTAGGAATCACTCATAAGCCTCCATGAATGACCTTGGAAAACTAGGCTTGTGGGAGCCTCCATTAGATGAGAACATAAACCCTAATTTTCTAGAGAGAGAAAATTTATTCCTTTTTCCTTCTCATAAAAATCACCCCCTAAAATATACATAAACCATGTATATTTATAGGCAACATAAAAATAAAGAAAAGGAAACAACAAATCCTTCTCCATCTCTAATTCATATGTCTCAAATCTAATATGATTCCAATATCAAGTTGGGCTATGAGTGAGAATCCATTGGGCCTATTATTTTATTGGCTACAATGAATTAATAATTGGCCCGGTCCATGGACCCAATTCAATTAATTCATAAATTAATTTCTACTCCACTAAAAGAAATTAATTGAACTCCAATTAAATAATAGATAACCTCTAAGTCAATATTGCACTTTGACCCCTCTATGCATAATTAGTTATCGGATAAATATAGCCATCAATCCGACTACTTAATTAATATATTTATTTTGGTGCCTTTGATTATTTCTGGCTCGATCACAATAAAACATTTGTTTTGACAAAAATAATAATTTAAATAAATAAATATATAATAAATCATTTTGTCTAAAAACACACGAAGGCCTTCGAATTTACTTTGTGATCAAACATAATCAATACAAAATAAATACAAGTAGCAATGATGCAAATATTGAAAATATAACCCTCTAACTATTAATTACATAACTACCCAAAGTGTCGGTCTAAGGATCCCGAAGAATCCGCCGAACAAATCAAAGTAATTATTAATTATTAAAAGAGTCTATACTTTTCTCATGCTTAAGAGTCAAATGCCATGACGGTGATAGGGAGTAATTGCATACGACGGCTCTCGCAATATATCTCAACCTAACGCGGATCCAGTTCAAGTCTTAATTAATTATGAGTCCATCCATAATTATTGACTATGAACAATTTATAATTACTATTTATATATCATGCATTGATTGTCATCACATACATATATATAAATATTTCTTGTAATTACATGGACACTATCAATTTCATAGTGAATCGAAACATAATACATTGAATTCACCAATTATATAAATCATAAATATTTCAGATATGTCAGGAACATATGTCACTATAATCCAGATAGGAATTTGCTATGTCAGGGCATATAAATCCCAACAGCTCCCACTTGCCCTCATAGCCAATTCAAATTGCACCTAACTCCAATGTTATCCAGATGATGATCAAAATTATTGATCAATGACACCTTTGATAATGGATCAACAAAGTTGTGTTCCAATGCAATGTTCTAACTACAAGTGCATTTTCTTGCCGGACAATATCATATAGAACATGATACTTCCTCTCAGTGTATCTTGTTCCTCTATGGAACCTTGGGTCATTGGTTTGGACTACTTCTGCACTATTGTCACAACATAGCTCAATAGGCAGGCTAGTATACTCCACAACCTCTAAATCAGTGAGATCAAACTAATAGGCTTCCTTTGCCGCCTTTAAGGCTGCAATATATTCCACCTACAGGTTTGAGTCAGCAGTTGAAATCTGCTTAACAATCTACCAACTGATCTCCCTTCCATTAAGTGAACATACACTAAGTCATGAACCTCATAGTATCTACTTCTGATTGAAAATCAGAACTAGCATACCTGACTAGGACCATATCATTTACATCCATAAATGAGTATGATATCATTGATTCTCCTTAGGTACTTAATGATATTTTTCACAACAGACCAGTTGTCAAGTCCAGTATTGGACTGATCTCTACTGACTATCCCTACTATGTAGCGGATGTCCTGTTTGGTATAGACCATGGCATATATGAGACTCTCATATGCCGAAACATATTGTTCCAGTCTCATTTGCTCAATCTCCTTTGATAGTCTTGAAAAACTACTTACTAGAGAGAGCCATCGATATCAATAAAGCAAGAACTCATTCTTTGAGTTATGCATACCAAACCTGGTCAAAACTTTATCAATGTAGGATTATTAAGATAAGCATATTTTCCTTTTAACCTGATCTTGCAAAAGCTTGATCCTAGGAATCTAGCTTACATCCTGAAAATCCTTCATTTAAAAGTAATTGAACAACTACCTCTTTATTAATGACAAAACTTCCACATCATTCTAAATGAGTAGGATGTCATCAATATATATAGAATTGGAAAAATAATGACATTCCCTTGTATACTCATGATTTATTCACTAAGAAATCTTCTGGTATCTATTTGTAGATTAACTTACCTTCCATAGGAATCACCCTACTAGAAAGTTTTACAAGATCCCAGAATTTATTAGAATACATAGATTCCAACTCTGATTTCATAGTAACTCGCCAAAACGATCTGTATCCATATCGGTTCACGCTTCCGTGTAGCTTACTGGGTCCAACTCATGTTTAACAGGGATGTCCATAATGGTCTCACCTAAAAACATGATTCTGTCGAATTGGATGATAATCCTCCCACTACATCAATGTACCGATGCAAGAATCTGTGTTGTAGATGATGCTAACGCATCAATAGGGAATTCATATATTATTCTCAATCTCTATAATAAGTGTGTTCACTTGTGGTACATCTGGTACTCTTACCATATTCTCTAACACTATGCTACTAGGTATGTGATTCATAATATGATTCTCCTATAGATAAACAGTGAGTGTAAACAATCAACTTTTATCATTGAGATCATAAAATAATCAGTCCTAGTGACATTTTAGAGTAGCTATCAAATCTATCATGCATATGATCTGTTTCCAACTTACTTGTCCATATCAAGCGCACATGTGCAAGACTACCCCATATGTGCATGTGATTCAAACTAAGATTTAGTCAAAAACACAGCTCAACGGTATCCTTGAGACAGACTAAGATGGAATGCAGTTCATAATGCGCATCGATGTTATTAACGCTAAACTCTTAAATGAAAGAGATAATGTAGCATAGCTGATCATAGATCTAACCATGTTAAGTGGAACTCTGTTATTCCTATTTGACACCTAAATTAATTTAGCGTCAATTGCAGAAAACTGGTACACAACACCCTCATTGACCATATAGTCTTTGCACTATCCCAAGAAATACTCAAATACTCGATCAGATCGAAGTGTCTTGATAAGTTTACCTAATCTGTGCTCCACATCAGTCTTGACCCTTTCGGAATATACCAAAAGTATAAGACTTGTGTCGCAACAGGTAAATTTATCCAAAACGTGAGTAATCTTGATTGGATGTTCATAAGACTACACGTGTACGTGTGTACCGACTCCAATTGTTCTTTATGTCTATTTTATTTGGCTGATTAAGCCCTTAGAGTTATCTATCCTTCAAAACAAGATTCACAAGTTTGGTTTAGGCTCCTCTGCCTCACTAGGTAATAAACCTTCTTTAACCAATCTTTAAATCTCATTTTGATTGATTATAACCCAAAAATAGACACCAAAAATACAATGAGTCAGGAATAACAAATTTTCTCTTAACATTCAATCTAGAAGATGCAACATTAGTTTCTACATCCTGCAAATCTTAAGAGCTTGTGATTATAGTATATTAACCATCTTTCAATGCACCAGAAGCAATCGCATATCTATTCAATTTTATAAAACTAGTTTTACAAAATAACAATCTAGTTTTTATAAACCACAAGTGAAACAAAAATTAGATAGCGTCTAACCACTGTGCATAAAGATGATTCTCTAATACTAATATCCTCATACTCTCTAATTTCAGATGTAATACTCCCACTGACTTAACTACAACCTTGGCATCAGGTCAAAAGATAAATATATTTCCATATCATCAAGGCTTCTGGATTCCTGAAATCCTTACAATAAATTGCAAACATGTTTAGTGGCTCCAGAATCTATCCATCAGGAATCAATAGATACAACCACATAACATGGCTCAATGATTAAATATATATTTTCCTATGCCACGTCATTGCTTAGACAGTTTGTCCTTTAGTGTCTTAGTTAACGACAAAAGAAACAGTTTTATTCGCCCTCAACATACACTGCCTTATTCCCTTTAACCTTTTTGAATACCCATGTTCTGTGCTAGTCTAGTACTATTATCATCCTTCTTCTTTGCTTTGCCTGTCCACTTGGGCCTAGAAGAAGATGGTATAGACTAGGTTAGATTGATAGGAACGCCCAAACTCTTGATTATCCCTTCATCTGTTACCAATTCTATAAGAATATCAGCGAGTGTGAACTTAAACTGATTCCTTATTTAGTTCACTCTAACAGAGTCGAACAAGTTTGGTAACAAGGCAATAATCATGTCAACTTGAAACTTAGCACCCAAGTCAGCCCTATTGATCTCCAGCTAATTTTAAATAATAAACAATCATTTTCCAAAATTCGATTTCATACTGGAGTTCCTTAGGCTATCTTGATGCTATTCAAGTCTGATATAGTACTTTAGCATACTCTCTATCTAATCTCACCAAAACATCTTATTGACATTTAACATGATGCTTGAAGAAAATAAAATAATGTAAATGTTAGCTTTGGAGCGTATTCGAGGTAAACTCTAGAATATTGCACCAATTCATCTCATTTGTCTTATTTCACTTATTCAAAGCATTAATGTTCTCTTGGGTATCTTAAAGTAAAAGGATTAGGTTTTAGGAGTAGTAAATACATTTATACCACCACGTTGTGAATAAAATATCTAAGCTCCTTTCTCAGTCAATATTAATGAGATCCAGTTACATTGAATATGTAAGCAAGCAGATAAACTGGATTAGACATAATTAATTTGAATATAAATGCATTCATACAATATGCAAGGTGAATTATTAATAATGTCATGCATATTTAAAATTAAAATGAGCTTGTTAACCACATAATACAATAAATCTCAATCGAACAAGAGATCATTATCATTATTGGTGAACAATCCCTTTTAATTAATGCGGGTCCCTCAACTCTGTAGCATAATAAATCAACCAATCAATATGTCAATAACTTATCCTGTTGGAGGAGTTCATTATTACTATTGTTGAGATTCATTTACTATTAGGCGAGCACTTCCATTAAAATAGTATGTGGGTCCCTTAACCACTGCATGAAAAATCGAATAACCAATACGCCAATAACTTATTCGGTTGGCGAAGTTCATTATTGCTATTGGCGGGCAAATCCCATCATTTCCATATCTCTTAAGACAATTCCTTGTCTATCTATATGAAATGATTCCCGATTATGTTTAGCCTTTCTAAAATCACCTAGTATAGACCACTCCGTTGGGGAGCTAACACTATTGATTTTAGATTGAGTGTATAACGTTATTAATGCTCTAATGAAAAATAAAACATTAAATATCTTGTCATTATAATCTAGACTCTTTAAATCATGCGTAGGGCCTTATTTTTAAAGATCTAATTACAATGAACATTTAATATTATTATTTTCATGAGTTAACCATTCTTGTAATATTAAGACTCTTCAAATCATGCGTGGGGCCATATTTTTAAAGATCTAATTACAATGGTGTTAATAACAAAGGCCATGGGGCAATGTAAAAAATCCCCGCTCCCACTCAATTTTTAATCATTCATAATTAGGGTTTTCATTTTATTCATTTACATGATATAATGCATGCAAAACGTCTTGATTTTAATCCCATTAAATTTAGAAAATATTTGGACTTTAAATGATTCACTAATATTTAATTTGAAGCACACTTGAAAAATAATTTACAAAAATAATTTTTCGTTTCCCAATAAGTGCCCGCAAATTAATTAGTAATCTAATCCAATTAATTTTCATAATTTAATTAATGTAAATCAAGCCATTTAAATAAATATCATGGATACAATGCATGAATAATAATTAATTAACAATTATATATTCCATGCATTTCATACATCGCATAAATAAATAAATAACAGACAAAGCAAATAAAATGGTCAATGGAATCAGCTTTTAACATTTAACTACTCTAAGTATTGCGGGAAGATCATCCATCGGTTTGCAAACACCCACATCAGGCTGGTTCGCACCGGGAGAAGCAAAACACCACTTGGAACGCGCCTGGAGGGCCCCACACGCGCTCACACGCGCGTGGGGCATGCTGTAGGTGAAGACACGCGCCCCCATGCGCTGGCACGCGCGTGGGGCGCGTGGGACGCACCTCCACGCGCCAGCACGCGCGTGGAGGGAAGGTGGATTTGGCTGGCGCGTGAGACCCACGCGCCAGCATGTCATCTACGCCTCCAGCTCCTGGCGCGTGCTTTTCACGCGCCAGGCTCACCACCATAGACCTGCACTTGATTCTAGCCTCCTCCGACGTCTCTTCTCGCCGCCGGTGATGCTCCGGCCACCGGAAAAACGCCGAAAAATCCAGAAAAATTAATAAAAATTTCCAGAAATTAAATTAGGCCTTAAAAAATTCCAGAAAAATTCCAGAAAATTGCTAAAAAATCCCAGAAAATTTCTGAAGCCTAATTTAACCCTTTTGGACCTTCTTGAAGCTTCATAGCATCCTTTGATGAAGATTACATGGCTTTAAATAAATTTACAATTTGATATACAATGGAAAAATTAAATTACATCATTGAACTTTCAAACGGCTAAATCAAAGCCTTAATTACATTCATCCAAAGATAAAATTACATTCAATTAACCTATAAGCTTCATCCATGGCCCAAACACACATCATTATCCATTCACAATTATACATACATTATCATGTATCAATATATTAATTCATACATCAACATACATCAATAAAAATATATATGAATATAATTTTGGATCCATGAATGATGATTTTTGATAAAATCATGATCTCTAGTAATGAATCAAACCATGCTCTGATACCACTGTTGGGAAACGTGCTAGTTTTAAAAACTTTTCGAGAGATTTAAATTCATAGATCTTGATTCATCACATAGAGACAAGTTTTATGCAAAAATAAAACATGATGTATCATTCAATTAAAAGATTGAATACTTACATCAAGGTTTGAGTAAACCTTAGATCTCTCCTCTAAAGTGAATGTTCTCACTTATTGTAGATCCCTTTTGCTAGACACCTTTTTCATGGATCTCCATCTTCTTGGTAATTGTTTTGCCTTTAGGAATCACTCATAAGCCTCCATGAATGACCTTGGAAAACTAGGCTTGTGGGAGCCTCTATTAGATGAGAACATAAACCCTAATTTTCTAGAGAGAGAAAATTTATTCCTTTTTCCTTCTCATAAAAATCACCCCCTAAAATATACATAAACCATGTATATTTATATGCAACATAAAAATAAAGAAAAGGAAACAACAAATCCTTCTCCATCTCTAATTCATATGTCTCAAATCTAATATGATTCCAATATCAAGTTGGGCTATGAGTGAGAATCCATTGGGCCTATTATTTTATTGGCTACAATGAATTAATAATTGGCCCGGTCCATGGACCCAATTCAATTAATTCATAAATTAATTTCTACTCCACTAAAAGAAATTAATTGAACTCCAATTAAATAATAGATAACCTCTAAGTCAATATTGCACTTTGACCCCTCTATGCATAATTAGTTATCGGATAAATATAGCCATCAATCCGACTACTTAATTAATATATTTATTTTGGTACCTTTGATTATTTCTGGCTCGATCACAATAAAACATTTGTTTTGACAAAAATAATAATTTAAATAAATAAATATATAATAAATCATTTTGTCTAAAAACACACGAAGGCCTTCGAATTTACTTTGTGATCAACCATAATCAATACAAAATAAATACAAGTAGCAATGATGCAAATATTGAAAATATAACCCTCTAACTATTAATTACATAACTACCCAAAGTGTCGGTCTAAGGATCCCGAAGAATCCGCCGAACAAATCAAAGTAATTATTAATTAATAAAAGAGTCTATACTTTTCTCATGCTTAAGAGTCAAATGCCATGACGGTGATAGGGAGTAATTGCATACGACGGCTCTCGCAATATATCTCAACCTAACGCGGATCCAGTTCAAGTCTTAATTAATTATGAGTCCATCCATAATTACCGACTATGAACAATTTATAATTACTATTTATATATCATGCATTGATTGTCATCACATACATATATATAAATATTTCTTGTAATTATATGGACACTATCAATTTCATAGTGAATCGAAACATAATACATTGAATTCACCAATTATATAAATCATAAATATTTCAGATATGTCAGGAACATATGTCACTATAATCCAGATAGGAATTTGCTATGCCAGGGCATATAAATCCCAACAGATTCCAATTGAATCGTAGTTCCGGCAAGTTTAGGACTAAGCCTTGAACTGCTTTTGTCCCCTGATGATAGTAAAAAGTTGTAGATAAAGAATATAAATACTTGTGTATATATATATATGTGACATTGTGTTGAAAATAGGTTTGCATCCTAGATTGTGTGATTTTCATGATGTGTTGTGTGTGGAGGCATTTTCAAAGTGACAATATATGTAATCAATTAAGGTGTTGGGTTCTTACTGTGTTATTTCTCAATACATCGAGAATGTCTTCATGAAACCACAATCTACTACGTTCACCCGGCTCTTCAGGACATTCTTGACGGACGATCTCTCTAGCCATATCTTGAATTAGATCATGCATCTTCAGCTGGTTATGCCCATCAATACTTACAAGACAACGACGAGATAGAACCCCAATATCAGATTCCAGATAGAAATCACAGCCTTTTAGAATTTTGATTGGCAAATGTTGGTCCATTCCAACAAAAAAACATGCAATATCTAAGAATAAACCCTTTTGTTTATCATCAAGTGCATTGAAGCTCAATGCAAGTTTTTGTTGAACGTCATGATCAGGAATCTTTTCCAACTTCTCCAATTTACCTTTCCATTCAGGTTCAGTTTTGTCCGACAAAAAAGAACCTAAAATTTCAAGAACTAAAGGAAGCCCCTTGGCAGAACTCACTACTTTCTGAGAGAGGTACTCATAATCTTTTTCAAGACGATTACTCCTAAAGGCATGCCAACTGAAGAGTTTGAGAGATTCCTGCTCATTCAACACATCAAGCTCATACACCTCACTCACCTTATCCAATCGAAGGGAACTTAATGAAGACAAATCTCTACTTGTTACTATGATTCTACTTCCACCACGTAACAAATCACGATTTATGGCTAATGCCCTCAATTGGCGCACATTATCCACGTCATCGAGAACAAGAAGAACCCTTCGATGCCATGCTCGCTTTTTAATCACCTCAATTCTATGATCCTTGCATCTTATTTTCTCATTTCCATCCTTTAGGAGATCCGAAAGAAGCTGTTTTTGTAATTTAACAACACCATTGGTATCCCTAGAAGTTCGTCCAACATCATTAAGAAAGCTACTGCTTTGAAACTGATGAATACGATGTACGCGATTATACATTGCTTTAGCAATTGTAGTCTTGCCTATTCCACCAATCCCCCATATGGCAACAATCCAAACATCATCGCTATTGGACCCCAACTTTAGAAACTCACTCATTTGTTCAACACGATACTCTATTCCAACTTGGTACTCTGCAACACTTAAACCCGTAGGGTTTAGTTATCAGCCGCGTCTCCAACAATAGAATTAATAAATCCTGACTCGCACCTGCCCAATTTTTATTGTTTAGGAGGGGAAAAAAATTAAACTAAGCAATTTTACATACAAAGAGGTGAAAGAACAAAATAACTAGTAGAAAGTGATCATGTTTTAGATTTCCGTAAACTACACTTACACAGAGTTAAAGAGCCTCAAATAACATAATATTCTATCTTTAAAGTTCATTTATCACTTTAATTAAATTAAGCGAAATAATTACATATGCGAACTATTATTCACGCCCAAAATATCTATTACTCAAGAACAATCATTTAATTACCATGGTTGCTAGTGTACCATTTATTGAGGCAGCCATCTAAATGTATTTCAATAAATGTGTACCAATTTTTTTTTTTTTGGATAATAATTACATATGCATCAAGAACTATTGTTATGTGTATAGGAAAGTTCTTACATTTGCAGGTTTATATTGGTATGAATTAGGAGATGAGATTAACGTTAGGTGCACAGGAAAAATTTCTATATATGTTGACTGCTGCTAAATTGTTTGTTTTAAATTAACATTTGCAGGTTTGAATTAATATAGATTACGAAATACAGTGAAAAAATGGCACATAAAATTTTTCAATGTGTGTGTTTATATATATATATCATATAGAGTGGTGATCTCTTACCACCGTAGAGCAAGAAATCAATGCACACAAAAAAAATAATAATAAAAAATAAATAAATAAATAAAGAAGGTATAATGATTTTAGATGAATTATGTCAAACATTTATATTCTCCTTTTGAGGATTTCTGTTGACAAAAAAAAAAAAAAAAAATGTATAATGATTTTAGATGAATTGTGTCAAACATTTATATTCTCCTTTCTAGGATTTCTGGTGACCAGTCTTACAATTTTCTATTTCCTACTCAATTAAGGTACGATCATGTTACAATTTTCAGTAATTCTAGTTTCTAGGCAAGGCAAATCCCAAGTAGAAGACAGGTTGTTCTTTTTTTTTTTTTTTTTTTTTTTTTTCTGCCAAATCATATGTAGTGCGTAGACACCTCATTTTGCCCCTATTCATTTGTAAGGGCATTTCGACAAAAAAAATCAATTGAAGATTGTAATCTGACCACACTAATAACACTAATTTCGGAAAATTAAGAAAACAAAACAATTCGACGGCCAGATCAGAAAATGAACATTACCATTAGGTCGGAAATGTCCAAGAACTTTTGGTTATACCTAGAATTAAGTTCCTAAACAACTCCTGAAATAGTGGAACTCAATCAAGAAAAGGGCAAAATCAATATTTTGCACACCTAACATGGTTGGATTAATTTGATTTGACTTGAAAATTGGGCAAGTCTCAAATTTCAAATTAAAAAATGAATATAATAATAAATATAATAATCTATATGTATATATACTTGACACAGTTCACAGTAGCTTCTTGATGTGGACTAATGCCCAAATCATAGATATAATGTCTATATATATTATCTATATTTATTATCTATTGTGTGATTCATGCGGTGAACCAACAAAGTGATTCGTAGGTCAGTGTTCGCACTTCTAAAGTGCGAATGGAATCATAAAAATTGTTTCTTGCTGTCCAAGGAAGGAACTCTATAAATACACAAGGCTGTGAGAAAAGGAAGAGAAAACCCTAAAAACGAGTCTATCCAATCACTCACTTTCATTCACAACTCCTCCATATTCATAAGCCTTCCTCAAAAGTAAGTACTGTAATCTATCTGTCTTCTACTCCTTCTGACATGATACCCTTGAAGATATAGTGTACACCGTGACTCCCATGGACCTATATCCGGGATGGACCAAAGAATGAAAGTATTCCCTTCAACCTACCCTTCAAAGCGTAGTTTCCAAATAGGTTAATTTTATGCAAACTCAATATTATTGTGGTGTGTGCATTCATCCAAATAAAAATAAAAGTAATTCTTATTTTACTTTTTACACAAATATTCTTTTCTTTTCTTTTTTTTATTGAGCATGATGGTTTCATTACACCTTATTGAGTTATTGGACATGATAGTCATATCTTGTAAACCATGCTCCATGACTCTTAATACGTGGGTAGTTCTAAACGTTTCAAGGTCATGATATTTGTATCGCACAAATATTCACTTTTATTTTTTTATATTTATAATCTTTAACTATTATGTTGTCTAAATCAAGGTTTCCTAATAATCATTCAAAATCTTTGTTTTTTAAAAAAAATTTATTAAATATTTGGTTTTAAAATTTTTTTCATCAAATTAATATATTTTGGTTTTTAAAGTTTTTCCTCAAATTAATATATTTGATTAAATAATACCCATAAAATTCCTTAATCATTAAACTCTTTTCGAATATCTAAAATTAATATATTTTAGGTTAACTAAGGTCATTAAAAATCAAAGATAAATAAAATTATCATGTTTACGTAAAAACAACTAAAATTCTATTTTTCAATTCAAACATGAATTATAAATCTCTCAAATTTTAGGATTTTGTTCTATAGTAAGCTAGAAAATTAACTCTTTTATATTTATGTCTAATAGGTCAATCCTCTTCTAAATGATTAGAAGAATTAGTCAGGTAATCCCATAAAAAAATAAAATAAAAATAAAAATAAAAAGGCCAAGTTGCAAGAACTGCCTGGTCATAAAAGTCTATATCTTTTAGAAATTAAAAGTTTTTAAAACAATATTTTCTTAAAATATAAATTTTCTAAAAATTACACCTGCTAAAAATAAATTTTCTTAAAGCACAAGTTCTTTAAAACTCCTATTTCTTAAAATAAAACTTTCCTAAAATAGAATTTTCCTAAAACTAAAATTTCCTAAAATAAAACTTTTCTAAAAGTCACATTTCTTAAAAATAAAACTTTCCTAAAGTAGAACTTTCCTAATTAAAAGATCAATTTTCAAAAAAAAAATTTCCTAAAAGTCATATTGCCTAAAATAAAACTTTTCTAAAAGTTGTATTTGCTAAAATCAAAATTTTCTAAAAGTATGTTTCTTAACATATTTTCTATAGTTTTATTCAAGATCACCTTTTAAATTAAAATATTTTAAAGCCATAATTCAAGGTCTTTTCCAAAACATTCTTCCAAAAATATAAATTATTTTTCAAGTCTCTTTTAAAATTCAAATTCAATCTTTCGAACTTGAAAATCATATTTTTCAAATACAAAGTCTCTATTAAAATTTAAATTCTAACTTTTAGAGAACTCTAAGTCAACTTTCTTTACAAAATTAATAAGCTTTTTAAGAACTCTTTAAGTTCACTATTTTCAATTCGAACTTTTCAATAAATCTTGTTCAACGTTACCTTTGGGCTAAAAGGTACACTCTTCCAAAAACTCTTTTTGAAAACACTTGTACAAATTCACTTTTTAGGTTCATATGTCATATCTTCAAAATCAAAGTTGTCTAGAACTCTTAAGTTCACTCTTTTAAATTAATTTTATAAAACTCTTATGTTCGATAATCATTCTCTTCACCATTTAGTAATTTTTAAAGTTTCGACTTAATTGAACTAGATTAGACCTAATTCCTATATATCATGTTATATTTTAAATTTACGTATGCCTACTAAGGCATAGATCATATCACTTTGGTAAGGTCTAACTTTTATGGTAATATTAAATCATGCATCTGTAGAAAATTCTATATTTTAACTCATAAATATAACATGAAAAATAAGATAACCGTGTTTTAAGGATGCGTGGCCAGTGGGTGGGTGCCTAACACCTTTATCATGCATGAGCAGACCACCAAATCCACTAATTTGGTTCACGAAGGTTAAATGGTAGTCAAATATATCTAGGACCCTTATTAGACCTCTTGTGTGTCAAAATAGTTAGATATTCTTCTTACACCTTAGACATTCATTAGTTAACCCAACACACCTTAATCCCATGTTAGGTGGCGACTCTAAATAAACATTAATAGGCCCTATTCATAATAAGTATCGGCTCTAGCCACTCCGTCGCATTAAGCTTCCTTTTCCCCATAAACATTTAACCTTAATCCTTAGAGATGGCGAAAAACCCGAGGTGCGACAGTGTACATTACAAAAAAATAACAAAATCCATGAAGATGTATCAATAAGAACAAATATTTCTTAATTTTAATTGAATATAAAAAGATAACAAAATTTTTGTTTCAAATTATTCAATGACTTAAAGACATTGATATATATAGTGCTTTTAGTATTCAAAAGTACAACACCCAATTTTAATTTTATGCACGATGAATAAAAGAGTGAGCAGAGAGATAAAGTCATTCACCTCTAAAATATTCAAGGAGAGATTCTTTTATAACTTTGAGTTTATATATATATACACACATATATATATATGTATATATATATTTTGCCCTTTATTGTCTTTTTTTTAATCTTCCAGCAACATTTATAAACTCACAAAATATTTTTTTTTTTTATCAACCACGAAATATTGATTAATAATAGATATGTATATATTTTTAATATTAATTTAGGAAACTTTTAAATGGGGAGAAAACTAGTTTAGAAACTTTTAAATAGACTAAATAATAGTCTTGTTAGATTAGGAAAGGAGAATGGTGAGTTTGAAATATAGCCGTAGGATTATATATAATGGTCATTGTCAGTGGTGTGATATAGAGCGGTGATCTATTGCTCACTTTGTGTAACAAGATAATTAAATAAAATTTGTAATTACACAAAAATAATCACTTAAATATCTTAATAATCATGGGTACTTATTAATTAATTAATCTAACAAGCTTTCATCCAAACCCCATATCACATCCATCAGTCCAACCTTCCTTAAGCCCAATCTACTTAATTTAAATAAATTAAATTTATTAATTACAAATAATTAACAATTAAATCACACGAGCATAAACACACACATAATTAAATAAACAACTAAATCATGACATTCCACAAACCAAAACATCCTACCAATTCAACAAGTAAAATACGAAATATAATTTAATTTAAAATATAATTAAATAAAACAAGACGATTAAATAAAACACCCAATTAACTCAATCAAACTAAAAGCAATTAAATAAATCCTTTAATTAAATTAAAAATATAATTTAAATAAAACAAAATAATTAAATAAAACACACAATTAACTCAATCAAATTAAATTAATTAATTAAATCCTTTTAAATATAGGGGTATTACATTCTTCCCCCTAACAAAAGAAATTTCATTCTCGGAATTCACAAATCCATGAAATGAAAACTCTGGTTATCCTTTAATTAATAAGGACCCACGGTTTTGAAGATATTTAAATAATTATTTTGTATAACTATATATATATATATATATATTGGAGCAAGGAATTTTATCCACACGATGGACAATGACCATTGGATATAATCATACGGTCATATTTCAAACCCACCATTCTCCTTTGGGACCTTATTTAAAAGTTTTTAAACCACTTTTCTCCCCGAATTTAAAAGTTTTCTAAACTCACAATAGATATATATATATATATATATATATATATATATATATATATTATCAACCTCGAAATATTGATTAATAATAGATACTTATTTATTTTTTGGTAATGTTAATTTAAGAAACTTTTAAACGGGGAGAAAAGTGATTTATAAACTTTTAAAAAGATTAAATAATAGTTCTATTATATTAGGAAAAGAGAATGCTTGGTTTGAAATATGACTATAGGATTATATCCAATGGTCATTATCCGTGGTATGGATAATTCCTTGCTCCATGGTGAACAAGAGATCGATCACCACTATATATATATATATACCACATGCGGATCCAAATGCTTTCCAAGTTGAAAGTTTAACACAAAAATCTTATTTTTCTAAATTTTTTTGAGCAAATGAGTTATTTGATTTAAGAAAAGGATAATTTGGTATTTTAGAGTAATAGTTTGGAAGGTATTTTAAACCTAAACAAAGGATTTCAACGCTTATGTAATTATTTTGCTTAATTCAACCAAATTAAAAAATCAACTATTAAAATTAATTACTTTGTTTTTACTCCTAATTCTACTAAGAATGTGTTCGGTTACATGAAATTAAAATCTTGGAATTGGAATTGAAATTTGAGAAAATTTTGGTTCAATTTTCTTAGTTATTTTTCTCCAATTCCACAAATTTTAATTTCAATACTCCAATTCCATGCAAACCGAATACACCTAAGTATAATTTTTCCTTGGAAAGAGAACTTAGTACCGATTGGCCTCATTTTGCAGGACGTAACCGGACAAACTGGCAGCCTGAGCTAAAGCCAACCTCCATTTCTTCACCAATTCTAAGTTGAATCGCTTTCTGTGACTGGCAAATGCTTTTGCATAACAACCCCTCTGTGACCGAACGTCGGAAGGTTAGATGTCATAGAAGATTGGAATAACAATCCGATTGAGTTCCTCCTTGCAATTCAGAATCTTTACAAGCTCATCAAGGCACCATTTTGAAGAAGCATAATTTTCCGAGAATACAATAACCGAAATTCTAGATTGCTCAATTGCTTTGAGCAATCCGGGACCAATTTCTTCTCCTCTTCTGAGTTTAGTGTCATCTCTGAATGTGTTAAAACCATGCCGATCCAAAGCAGCCAAGAGGTGGCCCGTAAATTTATTGCGAGTATCAACACTGCTGAAAGACAATAACACATCGTAAACAAAGGAAGTTGCCATTTTCAGAGCTTAAAGGGATCAAACAAAAGGAAAGGTTTGTGCGTAAGAGGAGCAGGGCATGGCCTTGACTTATATAGATCACCGATGACTTCTTTATTCTTTGGGATTATTACATGTAAATGGTGCTAATGACCTATATTTGCCATTTAATGGAATCAAAGTCTCATAATTTTGAAAAAATAAAGTTGACTAAAATGCTAACGTAGATATGAAAAAATACTGTTTACCCTCACTGAGGTACCACTTTTAAGCACGTACCACTTTTTGTGTATCAGGTACCACTTTTGTTTTAGACATAAAGGTATTACTTTTATCACATAGGTACCACTTTTATGCACATAATACCACTTTTTGTGTATCAGGTAATACTTTTTTGTGCAGCACAAAGAATGGTATCTGCATGCACAAAAAAGTGGTACATATGTGCCTAAAAGTGGTACATTAGTGAAGGTAAACAGTATTTTTTCACGTTTTTATTTTTTGAAAATTATCGGACTTTGACTCCATCAAATGATAAATATGAATCATTAGTACCATTTATATGTAATAATCAAGAGCGGATCTAGGGGTGGGCTTTGACCCACCAGAGTTCACCCAAAACAAAAAAAAAATTATTTTTTTAGTAAAGGTAATTTTAGCCCAGTTCAAAAAATAAATAAATAAAGTAATACTAACTCACTCCAAAATAGATTAACCCACTCCATTATTTATATCTGAATAATAATCTCTTTTTCTTTTAACATTTTTTAATTAGCAGAGTTGGTATGAAAAGATGAGACGAAAAAGAAGATTGATGCAGAAAATGGCCAGTTCTTTTTCTTTTATGGAGTTGGTATAGAATAAGAGGGAAAAGACAAATAGGTTGATAGAAAGGTCATGTTTCTGTTTTACAATAAATAAATAAATAATACTTTCCGAAAAAATAAATAAATAAATAAATAAACAATTCTAAGATACTATAAACAAGAACTACTTTTGAAAAATTATCAACACGATGTTACGTGGATTTGACGAAATAGGTTGCCCATTAATATGTTGTGGATACATTTACCATTGTTACATATAAATTATAACCATAAATAATATTCATTCGAGATTGGAGAAGGCTCGGCTGGAACAACATCCTCTCTCCTGTTTCTGTTTTCAATTCCAACAAGTTAGTGATATAACCTGTTAAAATATTGGATAGTTGGCTTAAAATTTTTTTTTTTTTTTTTTTTTTAACGAACCATAACTAAATTAATAAAATCAAATTATTATTTCACAGAAAAGGATCCGGGTTTTGAAATGGCAAGATAAGGCATATGAAATTTAAATTTAGGAAAGTAATTAGATAAAGCCTAAGGATGAATTGTGAAGGAAGACGAGGAGATCAAGAGTTCTATTAGAAAAATGAGAAGAATCAAAGATGAAAAATTTAGAGTAAGTGTCTTTTAGAACTTAAAAAATAAATAAATAAATAAATACAAGCACATATATTCGGTATTGGAAATTCAGGTATTAAAATGATTTAAGCATTACATATCTAAATATAATGATGCTCAGGCGATGGAATTTTTACTAGTAGTACATAAAGACTTAAAAATTAGAAAGACTAAAATAGAATGAATGAAATGTAAATTTAATAAATAGCAATCCAAGATTATGGAATACTCAAAATCATCATTTCCAATACTTGGGATTGCTAATATAAAAAATAAAATAAAAAATCAGAATAGATAATGATATTACCAGTGCAATTGGTGTAGGTTGAACCAAATGGAGATACCATAGTGGTATTTAATGTAATAAAATGGGGCAGAGTGGCGGGCTGCAAAAAAACAAGACGAGAAGAATGCAATTAAAATTTTAAAAAGTTTATAAATCAGTTGTAATCAAATTTTCTTTACAATATTATTGTTAGTAGTATATATATTGAGAAAATTACAACAAAAATGAGAAAATTACAACTAAAACGAATAGATATGAAAGCTTTTATTAAAAATATATAGAGAAGAGTGAATGATAAGTTATAATAGTAGGTATGATAAAATATGAATACGATAATATGATAAATTGTTAAAAAATAAAAAAAGATACAAACACGAAATGGATACAACAATAAAATATAAATATTTTTATTTTTATTATATATAATTTAATTTTTACTTAATTTCTAAACCATTTTTTAAAACAAACCCATTCAAATTAGGTCTACAACAAAATTTTCTAAAATCATAGACCAAAATAGCCAATGAAATCATAGGCCCAAATACCATTAATGTAATATATATATATATATATATATATATATATATATATATATATATATTACGGAATTAAATTTTATCAACAATGGTTTAATTTTTCAAACATTCAAATTTTGAAGAAAAAATAATAATAATAATTGAGTACTTTGATCTCACTTTGAGAAAGGCATATCATTGATTATTACCTTAACCAAAGATTCAGAGGAAAAAAAATGAAAAATTACTAAACAAAATTTATGAAGTTATACCAAAACACTATTTTCGAGAAGAAAATATTGAAGTACTTTTAGTAACTTGTACAAGAAACAATAATAAAAAATTTCATTTAGCCAATTAAAATATTTTAATATGTATAATATTATTACTATTGTTGGATTTTTTGTCATCTAGTCTAATGACACTTTAGTTTTTCCTACTTCGTAATGCTCCAAGACTTGTTGACAGAGGATTAATTTTAGAATTATTATTATTATTATTATTTTTATTTTTATTTTTTGTAAACACCATTTAACTAAAATGTTTGACAAGGAAAGGAAGATATATGTATTTTTATTAAATACAAGGGGATGGTAGTGTAATTTTATCTTTACTGAACTCATATAATATAAATTATATTATACATGTGTATATAAATGTAAAGGAACTAATGACATATTACAATTAGGACTACCATAATAATGAATTTATATTAGTGTAATTTTTTCTTTATTGAATTCATATAATAAATATTATATTATACATGTTTATATAAATGTAAATGAACAAATGACATATTACAATTAGGACTACCATAACAATGAATTTATATTTTTGTTTGACAATATTTGAGCTTTCAAAAGTAGATTAAAAAGGTTTGAAATTTTATATGAATTATGAGGACGCAAGTTTTATTATTTCGGAATTCATTATTTTGGGGCTAATAAATAAGTGTTTTGAAAGTTGTGGGGGATGCCAATTAAAATTTTGTAAGAATTTTGAGGATAGTAAGTTAATTTATTTATAAAATAACTATTTTTGAAGGGGCATAATAAGAATTTTGAACTTCGGCCCTTGGTGAATGGGAGATTTACTGATGAGATAGATTTTAGAGATAGTGAGAAAATAAGAAAAAAAAATACATCTGATTGGCAATATAGCAAAATTTTAAAAAAGAAATACAGGTGTAATTAATCTTAAAAGAATATTAAAAAAATAATTAATTAAATTTACTTACACTTTCCAAGAGTTTGGACAAATATCATATTGAAATATTTTTTCAAAATTACTATCACTAATGTTTGTAACGTTTGATCTGTTTTTCACTTATAATTCAAAAGTAAATTTTTAATGGTGACAGATTATTATGTAAAAAGACATTATTACCCTTTTAATTTTGCATTAACTCATTGATAATTAAAAAGACATTTCTACCCCTCTCTCTCCTCTCGTTTCACTACCTATGTTATTGCATCAAATAAAGACAAAATTAATTGACTAACTGTGGGCCAAATCAATTCACTAAAAGTTTGAAATTTGAGAAAAGGGTGTGGAAGTTTGGAAGATCAATAATGGCATAGATCGATCACCAAGCCCAAGCAAATATTGAAAAGCAAAGACTAAAAAAAGAGGAAGTAGTTACATTAAAGACGTCTTCCCTGTTCCGACCACGTCGAGATGGACCTCCGGTGGGCCCACTTATCTCCAATCCACTTTTTCATAATTTTTTGTGGCTTTATAGTGTTTTCTGGTAGGGCCCATTTAAGATATAACTGGATTCATAGTCAAGGAACCTCCATCATGTAATACCCATTTGTTATTATAAAAAATATAAATGTACCTTCCTCGTTGGTCTTTAATTAAAAGCTTGAAGCAATCCCCAAGAAAGACCTGCGCCTTGTTCGGATTTGATGACTTCGATAAATAATAGACGCCTACAAACCTCTTCATTATTTGGAAAACGATTAAACATCACAAACATAAGCGTGTGTAAGCAGTTTGATGCATTCATATTTATTTTAATAGTGATTTCCGAGTTCAGAGTATGAGCCGGTTGGAATTACTTCTCGACTAAGAATATTTTTATTTTAACAAAGAAAAATGCTAAGGACAGTCGTTTCTCAGTCACTCTTTTTATTGACTACTTTAACTCTCATTGCTTGATGCATTCATATTAATTTTAATAGTGGTTTCCGAGTTCAGAGTATGAGCCCGTTTAGAATTGCTTCTTGATTAAAAATATTTTATTTTAAAAAATTATATTTAAATGTATTTGATAATCATTAAAAATACTTTTAATAATTATCAAATTTAGTTCAATAGAATTTATCATAAAATTAACAAAAAAAATTAAAAAATATATATTATTACAAAACAAATTAAAAAATAATTTAATTATGACAAATATTTATTATAATGTGTCACCAAATATCTAACATTATTTTTACTCACCACAATTTTTTAACAATTCTATTGATAAAAACGTTTTTTATATTTCAACAGTAACTCCAACTGAGCTCTATGACTTATTGGCTTAATTCAGTGGGAAAAAGTATCAAATGACTCCTTAGTCCTTGCATATGTTCTTAATAATGTCGGAGTGATATGGATTATAAATTAGTTGATGAAAGATTTAAAAGTCAACTGCTTGAAAACTTGACTCTTATTCTTATTTGTCAGGGATGGTCGAATTAGGCATTAATTCTAATTCGATCCGCTCTTAACAGATTAAGCAAATCTTAATCCGCCACCGATCCGTTATCCGAGTAATAACGGATCAAATCAAATTAAACCCGCAGATTGAATTTTATCTAAATTATTCATTATTATTATTATTATTTATTCATTTTTTAACCATAACCTAATAGATAAAATTTTAATTTATTTATATTAATTCATATATTTAAATAATTATTAACTAATACACCCTCAGAATCCATTAAATTATTATTAACTAATTAAATTAACTAATATATTATTTGAAAATACATATATATAATATCTGGGTAGAAATCGGAGCCATCTAGTATTTTGATGGCCAAATCTTGGTCCATTCCAACCAAAAAAAACATGCGATATCCAGGAATAAACCCTTCTGTGTATCATCAAGTGAGTCAAAGCTCTGCCTTAGTATATCTTGAACTTTAGGATCAGGAATCTTTTTCAACTTCTCCAATTGAGCTTGCCATTTAGGTACCGCTTTACCCGACAATAAAGGACCTAAAGTTGTAAAAAGTAAAGGAAGTCCATTCGCATAACACACTACTACGTCAGAGAGGCTCTCATAACCTTCTAGGGGACAGTCTCTTCTAAAGGCATGGAAACTGAAGAGTTGAAGTGATTCCTCCCTATTCAACCTTTCAAGCTTATTCGCCACATCTACTTGAAGTGACTTTATTGCAGTCAAATCTCTAGTTGTTACTACGATTCCACTTCCAAGACGTAACCAATTACGATTTATAGCCAAAGCACTCAATTGGCTAACGTTATCCACATACGCCATGCTCGAAGACACTTCCCGTGTCTTCTCACAATCGGCTGACTAGTTGTAGGATCCATCACAACAATGTAATTTTAGGAAAGTCAAGTCACTACACACGAGTCTTGATACATAGAATTCTCATTGCATTCAAAAAAAAAAAAAAATCCTTCTTTTTATTGAAGTACACGCTTTCCCTCAATCTTTCACTGTAGAAGTCTTCAAATGGGTCATCTATGTCCTAAAAAACAAACAAACAAACTAAACAAAAATAAATAAAAAATAAAAAAATAAAAAATCTCCCAATAATCCAATTGTAATTTGGCTCGGATTGGGCGGGCCGAAGTTGCACCCCATAGGAGGTGACTATATTCCTTTATAAATTCTTCAATCTGCTTATCTACGTCACCAACGTCATATGGAGGAGTAGGGATAATATCAGAGGCAGTAGTGAGCGGGTGATCTGGAGGAGGACGAATAATATCGCAGCCATCAGTGAGTCTAGTGACCCAGTGACGTGAGGTATCATGAGTCCGGATTATTCTCATCGCCCTCGTAAATCAGACTAACCCCTAACCTCTTCACCCATAAACCTAAACGTCTTCCTAGCACTTGTCTAATTGTCATTTCCACTTCATCTCCATCTTCCAACCAACAAAGTTTAAGGTGCCGGATTGGTATGTAGGAGAGGAACATTTGTTCAAATCTATCTGCATGCAAATTTATTTGTATTTCACAATGTGGTCCCTGAGACCACTTGGTTTTATTAGAAACGCAACATGTAGTGATGTATGGGAATGTAACATCTCCTGAGACGCGGTGAGAAAAAACAAAGCAGACAATAATCCCTTGTATTATCAGACCCAGCTGAGGCATTCGAAAACGTATAAAGTATCCCTCACTCTGGTAGTAGCACCACCTCGGAACCTCACCCCCGGGAAAACAAATACGCAACACTTCTCGAAGTCCCTACATTAGACCCACGAACTGAGTTAATTGGTTTCTTCTAGTACTACTACTACACATATAGGGGGAGAGGGAGAGAGTATTGTATTTGTACCTGATATCTGAGGAGATTTCTTCTAAAATTATATGCAGCATTGTCGTTGACTAATTTGGGACAACCTTTAAAACTCATGAATTGTACTCCTGCTGCTTTTGATTCAATTGACATGCTCTGCAATGATGTGCAGTCGTCTGCCCACAATTCCTTTAAACTTACTGGAAGCGCTGGAAGTGATTCAAGCTGACTACATGTGTGTATGTTGAGATTCCCCAGTCGTGGAAGGCTAGTGATGGTAGCTGGTAGGTTAGAAAATTTGTTTCTGCTAAGATTCAAATATTCCAAGGACACCAATCTACCAATTTCACTGGGCACATTTGTTATATTGCAGTTTTCCATATATAATGATCTGATGCTACTTGACAATTGTAACGACGAAAAGCTTGATTCGGGTGGCGATCTTCGAAAAAATGCTGGCCACTCTAATTTGGAGCAGCCGGACATATTGAAATCAGCGAGAGACTTCAACATGAAAATGCTCAAGGGAATCTTCTTAAGATTCTTGCAATTCTTAATATCCAAGACAATAAGATTTTTGAGACGTCCAATAGTGCGGTGAACCTCTACCAGCTTTTTACAATCATTGAGCAATAATTTCTCAAGACTGGTGAGTCCCGTGAAGTCCGGAGTTTTAATCAAGAGATAGGAATGACTGAGATTGAGGTATTTCAATTTGCACAAAAACTGTCCCAAATAGAAAGAGACAATAAATTACCACGCATGTCATTCTATTAATTAAGTTTGAACGAGATGAAACAGTAGACTCATCATACCTTTGTTTCTTCCCAAACCTGTTTGAGTTTGCTATAGCTCAAGTCAAGGGCAACCAGATTCTTCATAAAGAAGGATGATGGTATACATTCTAAAGAAAATGCTTTCCAAGATAACCATACAAGTTCTTTAGAAAGATGTTCGCAGCTTCCACCTAGTTGGGCATAATTGAGATTAAGCAACCTCAGATTCTTCATCTTTGCAAATGCCTTCGCATCTAGCTTCTCTGATTTTGGCGAGTTCAGGACTAAGCCTAAAACTTCTTCTGTCCCCTGATAATAAATAAAAAGTTGCAGATATAAGAATATATAAATATATATATCTATGTAACATTGTATTGAAAATAGGGTCACATCCCAGATTGAGTGACTTTCATGATGTGTGGTGTGCTATATGGCATGTTTACAAGATATGTAATTAATTCAGGGCATTGGGAACTTACTGTTTCATTTTTCAGTACTTTGAGAACTTCTTCATAATCCCATAATCTACTACGTCTGCCTGGATGTTCAGTGGATTGTCGGCGGACGATCTCTCTAGCCATTTTTTGAATTAGATCATGCATCATAAACCGTTCATGTCCATCAATGCTTACAAGAAAACGACGAAATAGAACCCCAATATCATGATCTGGATAGAAACCGCAACCTTCTAATATTTTGAATGACAAATCTTGGTCCATTCCTACAAAAAAACATGCAATATCTAGAAATAAACCCAGCTGTTTACCATCAAGGTTATGGAGGCTCAGCATAAGTTTTTCTTGAACATCATTATGAGGAATGTCTTTCAACTTCTTCAATAGACTTCTCCACACAGGAACGGTTTCGCCCAACAAAGAGGAACCTAAAACTTCAAGAACTAAAGGAACCCCCTTAGAATAATTCACTACTTCCTCAGAGAGGATCTTATAGTCTTGTACAGGTGGGTCTCCATTAAAGGCATGCCAATTGAAGAGTCGAAGAGAATCCTCATCACTCAACTCTTCAGGCATATACATCTCATCCCCTCCAAGTCCCAGCGATTTTACTGAAGCCAAATCTCTAGTTGTTATTATGACTCTACTTCCAGGACCTAACAAATCACGATCTATGGCTAATGCCTCCAATTGGCACTTGTCGTCCACATCATCAAGAACAAGAAGAACCTTTCGACGCCTTTGATCCCATGCTAACTCTTTTATCAACTGAATTCCATTATCCTCGTCTTTTACTTTCAGTTCACTATCCTTTAGGAGATCACGAAGAAGCTCTTTTTGTAACTTAACAAGGCTCTTGAATTTTCCAACTTCAGAAAGAAAGCTACTGCTTTCAAATTCACTATGTATGCGATTATACATCGCTTTAGCAATTGTAGTCTTACCTGTTCCACTAAAACCCCATATGGCAACAATCCTAACATCTTCGTTTTCCAACCCCAGCTGTAGAAACTTACTGAGTCGTTGAACACGATATTCAATTCCAACTGGGTAGCTCGCAACAAATAAACACGTAGGATTTAATTGAGCTATAACTTGTCTAACAACACGCTCAATTAATGTCGCCTCACACCTGCCAAATTTTTTATTTTTTCATCAAAAAATGAAACTAAGCAATTTTCACGTACACAGAGGTGAAAGATCAAAATAAATAAGTGATCAAACTTTACGTACCCGTTGTTCACATTTTTTCGGACGTGACCGGGCAAATTTCCAGCCCTAGTCAGAGCCGACGTCCAATTCTCCACCAATTCCTTGTCGCGCATTCTGGCACCGAGTTTTTCTTCATTAAATGCATAGAAATTCTTTTGTTTCCGAACGTCGGAGGGGTCACCGTCATAAAAGATGGGAATAAGACTCCGATTGAGTGTGTCCTTGCAATTCATGATCTTCACGAGCTCGTCAAGGCACCAACGTGAGGACGTGTAGCTTTTCGAGAATACAATTATGTAAAGCTTTGATTGCTCGATTGCGTTGAACAATCCGGTACCAATTTCTATTCCTGTTTCGAGCTTAGTGTCATCTCTGAATACGGAAAAGTTATGCCTCTCCAAAGCGGCCAAGAGGTGGGCCGTAACGTTCTTGCGAGTATCCTCACCGCTGAAAGATATGAACAAATGGTACTTACAGGGAGCTGCCATTTTCAAAGCCCTGTTAGATCGAAGGAAATGAAAGGAAAGGTTTGTGAGAGAGAGGAGCAGGTGAAGGAATAACAATAACCTAGACTTATATAGATCAGCTCTAAAGCGTAAGTTTCGTGCAATGGAAAAGGGAGGAAAGGGAAGGGAAGGTGATGGAGGAGGATTAAAAATTTGTGTTTGGCAAAAATTGTTGGAAGGAAAGGGAACCTTTTGGAAGGTTAAACAGTGTTTTGCTTATCCTCCCAAAAATGGGAGGAAATGGAAGAAAAGGGAAGGAGAGGCTTGATGAATAACTTCTGATGCCAAATTTACCCACACAAAATCAAGGATTTAGTTTGCAAAACAAGAATTACAGAGCTTGATTAGTTGATTTAGAAAAAAATTAAAACAAAACCAATACATACAAGTTAGCAGTTGCAGAGAGAGAGGGAAGCAAGCTTGAGAGATGAGAGACAGCCGCTGAAGCTTGCGAACGGCGAACCCGAACTGGAACAACGAGAGATGGAAACTGAAAGAGATGGGTTTTGATTTTTGGAACAATCTGAAATGATATGCCGATATGGGTTTTGATATAGGTAATAGGTTTTGAACTTTTGATTCTTGCAACAGATAGATAAACTGTAATATATGGGTTTTGAACTTCTGATTCGCGTAGATTGTAGTTTGCAGTTGCAGAGAGAAAGAGAGAGGGCAAGTTGAGAGTTGAGAACGAGAACAGAGAGATGGAGGCGGCGATTGGGGAGGCTGAAATGATTTGCCCTAAAAATTTATATAGATATATATTTATAAATTTATCTTTTAAAATATAAAAAGTATAATAATAAATTTATTTAAATCCTTTCTCTTTCTTCTTCCTTCCTAACATAATTATTATCTTTTCTATTTTTTTTCTTTTTCCTCGTAACAAGTCCACGGTACCAAACATAATGAAAAGCACAGACACGGTTTGATATCTAGACCAATGTGTAGATGATTGATTTGATAAAGTGTGTAAAGAATGAGTGAGTCGCAGCATATTGCTTAACATGATTTATTTATACAAAATACAAGTAAAAAATAAAAAATCTGTTATGTATATGTTGATACCAAAAATCTACATGCTCCGGAGTCGGTCGCGATTCCTGCAAAACAAGAGCAGTGATGACCGGCGTGGTGCCGGCCGGGTGTACTCCGACGGTCAAGTTAGTACTTGACGATCTAATATCCGATAAGAATTACATATAAAATTTATGACGTACCTTTTTAGGTTGACTGATCATTTCTTTTATAGAAGCATTGATGGTAGTAGTTATTGAAGCGAGATTCTCCCTGATCCAAGATGATATCGTTTCCTTCTTACAGGAATGGTAACTGTCGTTACACATGGTAACCAAAGATTTTTTATAATTCCATAGAGATTTTGGGGAGGATAAATCCCTTACCCTTATCTTATTTTGACTTTGAGTTGCCTATTATTTTTATCCTCATCAGTTGTCTCCCATTCTCTTGCTTGCTTGTCAAGCATCGAGAATGTGAAAGTGTGTTTTTTACTAGCATCTCTTTGGCAGAAATCATTCTCTTTTTAAGTTAACCCTTGTTGGGCGACCTCTTTTTAGTTGACCTCTCTTACTCCTTTAATAAGGAAACGGATTTGCCCGAACTTCATGAGCTGAGGGAGTAGGCTTTCTTAAGCTGAATGAGCTTACCTTTTAAAAAGGGAAGTATATTTATGAGCTTTACTCAGCTCGCCCCTTAAAAAGGAAAATATATTTTACGAGCTTCACTCAGCTCGCCCTTTAAAAACGGAAGTATATTTTACAAGTTGATTTCAACCCCTTTTTAATACGGAGGACAACAATTACGAGTTTCATTCAGTTCGGGCCCTTATAATACGTGGCACTTTTATATCAATCCCTTATAATACGGGGAATGGCAATTACGAGTTTCATTCAACTCGCCCTTTAAAAAGGAAAATATATTTTACGAGCTTCATTCAGTTCGCCCTTTAAAAAGGGAAGTATATTTTACAAGTTGATTTCGACCCCTTTTAATACGGAGGATAATAATTACGAGCTTCATTCAGCTCGAACCCTTATAGTACGGGGCACTTTTATATCAATCCCTTATAATATGGGGAATGACAATTACGAGTTTCATTCAACTGGCCCTTTAAAAAGGAAAATATATTTTACGAGTTTCACTCAGCTCACCCTTTAAAAAGGGAAGTATATTTTATAAGTTGATTTCGACCCCTTTTAATACGGAGGATAACAATTACGAGCTTCATTCAGCTCGGGCCCTTATAGTATGGGGCACTTTTATATCAATCCCTTATAATACGGGGAATGACAATTACAAATTTCATTTAACTCGCCCTTTAAAAAGAAAAATATATTTTACGAGTTTCACTCAGCTCGCCCTTTAAAAAGGGAAGTATATTTTACAAGTTGATTTCGACCCCTTTTAATACGGAGGATAACAATTACGAGCTTCATTTAGCTCGGGTCCTTATAGTATGGGGCACTTTTATATCATTCCCTTATAATACGGGGGATGGCAATTACGAGCTTCACGAATTTATCCTTTTAATATGGGAGGTTCATCCTCGTGAGTCTGATTTTCCAGAGCTTCGTGAGCTTGTATCTTTAATAAGAGAGGTTAACTTTCTGCCCCCATTCCCAAGCTTGCTTCTCACGCACAAGGAACACTAATGTTCTCTTTCTATTTGCAAAGTTAGCAAAGCAAAAATAAAAGGATAGATGTACAGTTTGAACGGATAATATATATACATATTTATATATATCAGAATTGGTACAATTAAGGCAAAAACTTATCATTGAGCATCATAGGACCAAAATCATCAATGGAACTAGCGATTGTTCTCTGGAATAAGAAACTTTTTTTTTTTTTTTTAAACTGTGAACAATACCCGCGGGTACTATTCATGTGAATAGTACTCACAAAATATATATATATATATTTTTCTACACCCTGTGAACAGTTCCCCCGCGGGTACTATTCATGTGAACAGTACTCACAAATTTATTTTTTATTTTTATTTTTATTTTTTTCGGAACAATACCCGCAAAGCGTAGTATTTTATTGATTGAAGGGTCCCCAGGTGAACTACATCATTATGTAGGTGAACAATATTTTGCAAACAATTAGAAATACATAAAAAATTGTTTCTCTTTAAATCATGTGAGGAAGTGTACACATATATTTTGATATACGCGTAATGCATGAAACTTACCCGGTTAACAGTGATGATGAAACAACTGCTAGAGGTCTGGTGGGGCTTTCCAGCAATTTTATCGGATTGAGCAACTGTACCCTTGCTTTTGGCCACGCCATCCATGAACTATTCTCTTTCTTTTAGAGAAAGCCAGATTATAAAGGGACTGAGTTGCTTTTAAGTTTTGTCGTAGATTTCCCTTGTACGAACCATGATTTGTTGTGACTAATATACGTTCCCACAGACGGCGCCAACTATTGATGCCAAAAATCTACACGTTCCGGAGTCGGTGGCGATTCCTGCAAAACAAGAGAAGTGATGACCGGCGTGGTGCCGGCCGGGTGCACTCCGACGGTCAAGTTAGTATTTGACGATCTAATATCCAATAAGGATTACATATAAAATTTATGACGTACCCTTTTAGGTTGACTGATCATTTCTTTTATAGAAGCATTGATGGTAGTAGTTGTTAAAGCGAGATTCTCCCTGATCCAAGATGATATCGTTTCCTTCTTACAAGAATGGTAACTGTCGTCACACATGGTAACCAAAGATTTTTTATAATTCCATAGAGATTTTGGGGAGGATAAATCCCTTACCCTTATCTTATTTTGACTTTGAGTTGCCTATTATTTTTATCCTCATCAGTATATACATCATATGGAGCCTACTTTGCAAGTGGGTATGCAAGTTCGTAATGCAAATTCCAATTATAAAAATGTAGTAATGTAGCTAAATCGTAACTAAGAAGTAAGTGTATGTGACTGGTTCGCTATAAATATGATTATTGGTGAATTGTATTTGTACACTTGAATGAGTCAATAAAATAACTCTCCCTCTCTCTCTCAATGTCCTCTCCTTGGTGTTTTTGTTCGTGTTAATTTATATTTGTTCTGGTATTTTATGGTGGATACGGAAAATGATTTTTTTTTATTTTTTATGGAGTAGGTATTGAATAAGAGGAAAAAGACAAGGTTGATGCAATAATCATGAATACTTTTATGGGAATGGGGAAATTACCAATCCCAAATAGTTCCCCATTCATACGGGAATACATTTAGCATTGCCTTTTATTCAATTTTACTAAGTAAGTTTATTTATCTAAGTAAAATAATTATGACCATGGATGGTCTAATCTGCAACCAGTTTTAGACTCTATTTTAGGGCATCATTTCACTTAATGATTTTACTTAATGATTTCATTTTGACAAATAAACCTAACTTGTAATATTACCACCCTTGATTTATATTTTTTGTTGTGTGCCGCAAAATATTTTTAAGTTGTAACCTAAAAATTACAAAAATATATTCAGTAGAGATTGGAGAAGGCATGGCAATGTAGGGCATATAGGAAAATTATTTTGGCTGGAAAAAGAGATGTGTAACAAACTCATGGACGAAGGAATTGTCAGGAGAAAGGATTAATTTTTTTCAAATGTGAAATCACTTTGACTTATCAGCTTAATTCGGTGGGAAAAGTCTCAAATCCACTGTAATGACTTTTGCCTATGTTACCAGCGATGTCAAGTGTTTATGATTGTAAATGAGTTGAGTTCAGGTTCAAAGTAACTTAACCCATGAGTGGATGAATCTCATCCTATATTATGAAGCCATTTATTAAATGAGATAAGATAGAATAATAATAGATTCTGATACAATGGTGTTCTTTCAGAAAGTTTAATACCCATTTATTGATCATGATCTATTTTGAATTATGACCTCATCTGAGGAAAAATTATACTTCGAGTGTCTCCCAATGCACCACGCACCTTCAATAATTTTTTCA